ACAGATTGTTTTACCTTATTCGCATTCATCTATCATTGTATGACCTGCCACTACACACCATAAGCTGTTTATTCTATCTTAAATACAATTAATATCAGTAAATAGGAGCAAGATCCAACCTTGACAACAACACTTAAACTATATATTATAACTATATTATATAATATAAAATGACATGAAATCAAAGCCACATTTCTTACCAAATCTCGGTGTTAGCTGGAGTCCTTCGGGAGCTGTAAAGTTCCGGCGTATAACTCGTTCTCTCGCTGTTGACACCGGAGACACAGGTGCACCAGTAAACTGCTGTAAGGTGTGTTGTTACTGACAATGACACAGCTAATGCCGGCTGACTCTTTGGTGCTGCACAAGTGGGCCGGACAAGGTTGGCTTTTTTCTGCCTCACTGCAATTGGTTCGTTTCATGTGTTTATGTGCGTTCATTGACGGTCAGCTTTTCTGTACATGAACGTCTAAGTGAAAGAGAGCTTGAAAAGAGAAAGAATGGAGACGCAAAGTATGAAGTTGCATCTTATTATTGTTCAGCAGGTTGAATCTGCATATATAATATAAGCTATGTCTTCAATAAATCTAGTTAGAGTCACAAACGATTGAGTATGTTTATCTTTGAGAGCAACACAGACCGTGCAGAGATGATCAACATACAGGAGTTTTCCTTTCATTTAGTTCATATATCTTACAATTATTTCAAGGTCTGCCAATGTGCTTTGACGCCTGAATTAAGAAATAACAAGAACACCAGAGACCATCCTGTGATGGGATCACACCAACCGCGACACCAAATTAGGCGAGGGGGCGCAAAGTCATTGTGTCACTCCTCCCCCAGCCTACATCCTGCGCCTTTGCTCAGACCACACTCATCTTCAACCTCAGCCATCATTGTGAGCTCAAATAGTGTGAGGTTTCGGTTGTGACTATCGCGTTGACAAAATCAACAATCATCAAAAATATAACCACCCGGCAAAGCTCTCAGAACCATCTCTGAATACAGGAGCACAATACCAGCCAGGTCGATGCATGCGCACACGCACACACACACACACAGAGAGATCGAGTTAAACTGGTTTGATAATCACGTGAGGGATTTCATCAAGATGAAATCAGCATGATAGGAAGTGATTTGTGACTCTTTCTGCTCCATTGGGTTTCCTCTTCGTCCTACTACTCACTGCCAAACGTCACCTACTCCACACTGCTCGTTAAAGCTTCAAAATTCACTAAAAGGGATATTAAATTAGCTTGTGTTAACCACAGACCTAATTTCAGGCATCCAACCAAAAAACCCATTGACTCTCAGACGAGTGCAAAAAATGCCGAGTCATTTATAGGTTTTAGGACTCATTCTTGCAGCGCTCTATCCCACAGAAAATTTATATTTGAAAACGTTTTTTCTAAGGGTATGTACAGGCGTTTTCCTAATGTAAAGTGATCCCGTATCCACATTTATTATCAGCCTATTTCCCCTTCTTCTGACTAAACGTTGTGGACATAAAAGAGTCAAAACAAATACTATATTGGGAAATCAGTGTATAAAAAGGTTTTTACATACAGAACAATACGTACGCACACACACACCCCCACGTTTACAGTCCTTGGGCAACATGCCACTCATTATAGCAATCACGTCCGGGAAGAAAGCACAAAGGCACATCACAGGAGGAGCACTTCACCGGCGTCTTCGCATGGCAATGTCTGCACTTCAGCCGACCACTGGTGCTGTGCCCCGTGATGTGCACGGGCCTGTGGTGTGCTCCGCTTGGTGGAGGATGAGGAGGAGGAAGAGGAGGTGCGCGTCTGGCTGTGGAGGGAGACGCCGCCGCCGCCGCCAGCTCCTCTACGAGGTTCTCTCTGAACGCCTTCTGATGCAGAGGTGTCTCTCCTCTACTCTTTGCGATGTCTTTGTGGAGGAGGAAGGCGTTCACGATTGCAATGTCCATGAATTGATAGAAGAACATCATATACCACTTCTGGGTCCTGTGGGGGACTTTGTACGGCCCTGGCTGGGCGTTAGAGGCTCCACCCACGCACCTGGATGGACAGGAAAAAAAACAACATTAAGAAAAATGTACCAAACCTTTAAATTTTAATTTAAATAAATAAAAAATAGTACATACAGTCTGTACTCCTTCACCGCTGGTGGAACGGAGACGTCCTTCACCGCTGGTGGAACGGAGACGTCCTTCACCGCTGGTGGAACGGAGACGTCCTTCACCGCTGGTGGAACGGAGACGTCCTTCTCCGCTGGTGGAACGGAGACGTCCTTCTCCGCTGGTGGAACGGAGACGTCCTTCTCCGCTGGTGGAACGGAGACGTCCTTCTCCGCTGGTGGAACGGAGACGTCCTTCAACAGCCAGTGCCCATCTTTACATTTGATCCTCCTTTGCACTGTGTCCTCCGCATGGGCCGTGTGGATTGTTGAACACATGAAGACGTTCCTCGCGTCTCTCCACTGGATGAAGAGCAGAGAGTCCCTCCTGATCCAGCGTATACTGCCACGGGGAGATTTGGAGTCCAGACTGTTTTTCATTTTCGGGAAACCGACTATGTTCATGTGGATGGTTCCGCACGCCCAGATCCCCCTCTGAAGGAGGTCGCGGAAAAGGGTGGGACTTGTGTAAAAATTATCGACGAAGAGCTTGTAGCCGGTGCCCAGCAACCTCGTGTCGATCAGCTCCATCACCGAATCATAGCGGAGACCCTGGCCGCCGTTTCCCTGGAACTTTCCCTGGTAGACGAAAAAGTCCCACGTAAACCGGCTCCTGACGTCTGCCAGAACAAAGAGTTTAAATCCCCAGCGGAAAGGCTTCTTTTTAATATATTGCTTGGGCCCAAAGTGGGCTTTGGAGGCAACTATTTGCTCCTCAATGGCAATTTGCTGGCTAGGGTGATAGTTCCTGATGCAGGCGTCCCTCATCTCCAGGTAGAGTGGCTTTATTTTGCAGAGAGGATCGAAGGCTACTGTGCCCCTCTTTTGCTCATTTGCAGCATCCGCCGCCGGGCTACTGAGGCGAAGGGCCTGGCAGATACTGAGGAACCTCGTGCAGGTCATTACCCGTCTCGGGAACGGCAAGCCGTACAGTTCCCCCCCTCGCCAGTAATCAGTTAACGCAGAGCATTTCACTAACCCCATGTAGACGACTAAGGACATGAATGAAAACATGTCCTGCAATGTCAGATCAATCCACGGGTCGGAGGCTGTTGAGTGAGTCGAGCCATGGTCATTGGTGTTTTGGACGATTGTCTGTAAAGTGGAGTTTGGAAAAAAAAGCTGGAAAAGCCGCAGGGCTGTGTAGGTAGCTCTGCGTCGGAGCTGGGGGCCTGGTGTACGGGTGGGTCTGAAGGTGGGCTGTGGTGGTGTTATGTCCGGATCGTCAGCGTCATTCCATCTCCCTCCCTCCAACAGGTCGCCACTGTGGAAACGCACGAGAAACAAGGGTTAATGAACAGGCATACTGGGCACAGGGGCCCAAAGTGTCGGGGGCCTCCTGGCCTTCACCTATAAAATGTCACTCGAAGGGAAACCAACCAGAGGGACACTAAACATCAGCGCAAAAAAAACATAAAACTATCACAAATAAATGCCAAACCACAACAATAAGGGTTGTTTTGCATTTCATTGATGAAAGAAAAAAAAAAATCTACCAAAAGACCAAAACAACTACAAAGACACAAACAACACAAAGATGCGTAACGACTACAAACAACAACAAAAAGCTGCTTAACCACTTCAAAGTCTTGGTGTATTGATCCAAAGCAGTCTCATAATCCGCCCATGCACACAAGAATAATTCATAATTCAGACAAAAGCTTATATATGTCAAAATGTACAGATATATGTTACATAATATAAAAGAATACTAACTTGTCTCCTCCCTGCAGAAACGGTGCATCTGCCTCGGAGTCAATAGACGACACGTGGCTCTCTTCGTCAGATATTTCGTCCAATGACTCGTCGCTTTCACGCTCAATACATTTTACACGCTTTTCTTGAAACGTGGGCATCGTTTTCTTAGTACGTTTCGCCATCATTCACTCTGCAAAGTCTCTGCAAAGTCTAAAAACACCCCACATTAACTGTTTCAGCACTGGCTCAGCCAGGAAACAGCATGTACCGCGCTTCGCGCCTAGTCCAGCCTATTGGCTATTGGCCATTTCATTGGCTCTATGAAGTGTCAGTCAACAATACTCACGGTTGCTATTGGTTCAGTCTTTTTGCAAAATAAGAGAGGCGGGTTGTGTGTAGGACTTTGCCAAGTTAGCGGAATGATCGACGTGAGACAGCATCCGGTTTTCAAAATAAGATGTCAACAAAGAGTATATACACATTTTATATATGGAAATAAGATTAAATGAATTATATTCACATTAAGAATAAAACATGATACTTGCATCTCGTGCAAGTCTTCAGTGTGTCAAAGTACTAAAAGTACGAGTACCTATTATAGAATATTACAGTATATTAGTTTTATCACTAATGAATACATGTTAGAGCATTTTTTATGTTGTAGCTCGTTAACATGGAGCCAGTTTTAGATGTGTGTACTATTACTAATGAGTATTATAGTACTGCATCATAACATTTCAATGTGAAAAGTAACTATAATCGTCAGACAAATTTAGTGTACAATATTTCCCTCTGAAATATAGTGGAAAATGTTACTTGATTAAAGTACAAGTAGGCCTATTTTATTTTTAGCCCAATTTTTTAAACTACGTTAAGGCTGAGATTCTTATTTTACTTTCGCTTGTGTTATTTAAAAAAAAACTAAAAAAAACATATATATATATATATATATATATATATATATATATATATACAGAGTGTTGTTGGAGGGAGCCTGAAATCCAATATTTCCATTGCCAACGACTGCTTCTTTGTAATTGTTGTGGATTTGATAATAAAGAAGGAGAAATTATGTATTCCTCCGCTGGGTGGCAGTAGGCTCCTTCAGGACGCTCAACTCGTCTTCCGGTCCTGTTTCGACGAAGAAGAAAAAAAGCCTCAAATCGTGTTTGACCCAAACAAACGCCTCCAAACCTACGAACCACAGACTGTACACATGTGAGGGACAACTTTTTGGTATTATAAGGTCTCGTGTTTTTGTTTTGCTGTCGTTGAAATGCAGTTTCAGTAATTGTCGTCAACATTTACGAAGCTGGAAGCTAGCTTAGCGAATGTAAAACTGTAATATGATGCAGTTGAGATGTGTTTGGTGCCTGTCAGCGGTCAGAAACAGGCCGGTTAAACTCCAGCTGAAGGCTACAAGACGCTGCTCAACGGTTCAGGGTGAAGTGAGGGTCAGGTTTGCACCCAGTCCGACAGGTAAGGTCCTCAACCTGAATACTGTCAAACTGTCTTGTAAGGTCATCCAGAGGGATAGCTGGCAACTGGGTCAATTTTCATCTTTTTACCACACCACACATTCCCCATCAAAGATCAATAGAGCAGCTCCTCCCAGCGAGAGAGGCCTGAAAGTTAATGAATGCTCACCTTCAATATATTTTAGCTTTTGGACCACACAATTCTCTGGAGTTAATATGAATTTTTGGGTAACACGAGTCAGAAACAATCCTACACAGCCATCACGGGAATCTAATTGTTCAAATGAATACTACTCATGATATTAGTACCAACTGTGCAGAAATACTGGGTTTAAACAGAATGAAGAAGAAAAGCTGCGCAGGATTCAAGCTACTCGCTGCAGGCCTAGTTAACTTTTTCTCTTTATTAATATTGTTCTGCATCTGAAAAACAGTCTCTTTGGATATTTTTGTCATTATTCTGATGTTGTAACTATACATTATTCTGTGCTGCAGGTTTCTTACACCTCGGAGGCCTCAGAACCGCTCTCTACAATTACATCTTTGCCAAGAAGTATGGCGGCTCGTTCATCCTGCGCCTGGAGGACACAGATCAGAGCAGGCTGGTACCTGGTGCTGCAGAGTCCATCGAGGACATGCTGGAGTGGGCCGGTAGGTTCTGAAGTCATGTGATCCATCACGGTTATTGGATCAATCTGATCAGTACATTTAGTACTGAATAATATCTTAATAAAATGTCCCCGTTTACAGTCATTCTTGGGATTTTACCTAAGCTCCCTCTCACCTCCAGGTGTACCTCCAGATGAGGGTCCTCGTCGAGGTGGGTCGGTCGGTCCATACCTGCAGTCTCAGAGACTGGACCTCTACAGTCAGACTGCCCGGCAGCTTGTCGAGAGCGATCACGCCTACTGCTGTTTCTGCAGTTCTCAGAGACTCGACTTGCTAAAAAAAGAGGCCTTAAGGACGGGACAGACGCCGAGGTGGCTGCAACACGAACGCACACGTGATTTACAGTTTCACCTCATCATCCTCTCACAGGCTTGAAGATAACATACAGCCGTACTTCAGGACGTTTTCGTCAGATTTAAAGCAGCGGCTGTGTCGTGCTCTCTCTTTCTCTCTCTCTCCCCCCACAGGTATGATAACAGGTGTCGTCACCTCCGGGCCGGGCAGGTCCAGGAGAAACTGGCTCAGGGAGTGCCACATGTGATCAGGTTTCGTCTGGATGCAGGTGTCGAGCCTTTTCAGGATCTGATCTTTGGCAGGAATTATCACGAGGTGGCCCAGGTCAGATTTGTAGTGTTTCAGTGGGGTTCATACTAAATTATGTCTGATAGAGTCACTCATATATTAAGGTTGTGAGGTCCATCAATTCTCCCTTTCTCTCTGCTGTTGTTATGCATTATTACATTTGTTGTCCTCTTTTTAGGTGGAGGGCGACCCTGTAGTGATGAAAGCAGATGGTTTCCCCACCTACCACCTTGCTAACATAGTAGATGATCATTACATGAGGATCAGCCACGTGCTACGGGGGTCTGAGTGGCTCATCTCCACCTCCAAACACCTCCTCATGTACCGGGCTCTTGGATGGCAGCCGCCCACCTTCGGACATCTGCCGCTCCTGATGAACAAAGACGGCACTAAACTGTCCAAGAGGCAGGGGGATATTTTCATTCAGAGCTTCCAGAGAGACGGAGTCCTGCCCGAGGCCCTGCTGGACATCACCACCAACTGTGGGTCTGGATTCAACAGTGAGTGACGGAGGAGAGGGAATGAACAGAAGCGTTTGTTGTGATGCTTTTAATTGCACACATATTTAGCATTTACGATTACGTCTAGAAACAGAGATCTGCCTTAATACAAGGATTACATGCTTCTAAATTACTTGTGTTGCTTTACAGCCAATCGAATTGGACGGAGGATAGATGAACTGATCTCTGAGTTTAACCCTTCAAAGATCACAACACATTCTGCTCTGTTAGACCTGGAAAAACTACCAGAGTTCAACAGGTAAGTCAGAGCTCTTTGTACTGTATTGTCATGTTTATCATAAATAAACCGGAGCCCCCCTCCCCTCCCATTTCACATGTTCCATTCCATCTGGAAATCAAAGTGTAAAAACAACAAGGCGTTTTGTGTTATCATGTTATTATTGTCTTATGTGAACTAAGTGACTTCCTGGAGTCTTGTTATCTCTGTGAGGTCATCAGGCAACCAACCAATGGAGACAAGTTCAGGAAGTTGCTGCACCAGGCACGAAATGCTCCTCCACATCAACCCCCCAAAAAACCACAAACTGTCATTTTTAAACTTTGGTTTATAAGAGACCCAGGCTAGCTGTTTCTCCTGTTTTGAGTCTTCATGCTAAGCTAAGCGGCTGCTGGCCGTGGCTTTATATTTACCAGACAGTTATGAGTCATCTTCCTCTGCAAATAAGCGCATTTCCTAAAATGTTCCTTTTTTTTCTTTCAATGTCCGCTGTATAGCCGATAAACCCTTTTGGGTATCAACATGTTCTTCCTCTGCTGCCACCTTTTAAGCTGTTAGGTAATGTGCAGCCTCATAGGGATGCTAACATGGTTGTTATTTTTTCCCTTATGAAGATAATTGTTCATTTATCAGTAAACTCTCTGATTGGGGCAGAATTCACCTGAAGCGCCGTATTGAAGATGAGGAGCAGTGTCTTCTGTTGATAAGAGATCTGCAGGGACAGATCCAGCAGGCCTGTACAGCACAGATCCAGGATGAGGAAGTACTGCATGAGGACTATATCAGGCGGGTGCTGCATCTTCGTAAGGTAACCACAACAGCATACTCACAAATATGTATTCAAACCATGTTACCATGTGTTCATATTACATTTTTAACATGCTAAATGTTAGATGCTTAAAGTTGTTAACTATCTGACGTGGCTTCTACTCTCATGTCTCAATACTGCTGCCGTGTCTCTCACAGTAATAATAAAACTGGTCTCTTCCCCTCTCTACAGGGTCACATATCCTCCCTTAAGGAGCTTGTGAGTCCCGCTTACTCTTACCTGTGGGTTCGTCCTTCCGTCTCCAGCCAGCAGGTGGCAGCGCTCACCACAGAGGCCCAGCACATTGCTTCATTAGTGCTCAAGTATGTGGTATTAGTTAAATCTCTCCAACTGCATGTTTCACTTTACCGTACAGGATTATAAACGTGTGTGTGTGCGCGTGTGTGCGCGTGTGTATGCATGTGTGTGTGTGTGCATGTGCATGTGTGCATTGCAGATTAATAGCTGAGCGAGGTGAGGAGCTGGCAGTGGATCGCCTCAATAAAGATCTGAAGACTCTGGCTAAGCAGATTAAAGCCACCAAATACAGAGAAGTGATGAAGCTGTTACGTCTGGCTCTCAGTGGTCTGCAGGTACCTGAACGCAACATGTTCATTTTTAAGACTGATAGTGACACAAACACTACAGCTTAGTGGTGGTGACTTGAAGTCCTGCCACCGTGGTGTAGTTTCTTCACAGCCTAAAGTTGGCTTTTTACTTCTGGCACGTGCATTTATGCATCAAAAATCCCATTGAGGTAACCAGTACGCCATAAACAAAAATGCATCAACCCTTCAGCATTGTGGGTCATTGTCTATGGTTAAGTTGCACTGTGGGTAATGTAGGCTCCAGGTTGTGACAATTAAGAACAATGTGTGGAGTGAAAAATGCAATATTTCTGGTTCTGCTGCATGGAGATTTTATTTCAAACTGATCAGACTCGACGAGCCTTTAAGGCGGTGCTGATTCTGTGCCGACACAGGGGATTGTGTCTTGTTTGGTGCTCTACCCTCACTGTGTTTCGTTCCAGTCCCAATATTAATCACAAGAGTATGCAGTTATGTCCAGTCCTCACAATATCTCCATAAAATGATCTAAATTATAGCTTGTGATCATACTTTTCCAGCATCAACAGAAGAAATCCAGCTTCATTCTGTCGGCTGCTCTCTCGGTTAACAAATCAAAGATGAACAGCTTTTCTGAGCCTTTTATTGCCATCGGTATTGTTCTGTTTGCCTCAGTAACAGCACCTGCATTGTAATATTTTAAGATCATTTTGACTCTCAGAGGAACTGATAACATCCTTTTTAATCGTTTTTTTTACAGCTCACTTGCTATTTTCATTCCTGCAACTGTATTTTTCAAACTCCACCTCTGCAATCCATCCAACCAGTTTTAGCTGTATTCATCAAAAATGACACATTTTTTGCTGGACTGTTTACATTGCACAAGTCCTTTTTTTTTTTTTTTTTTAAATTGTATTTCTGTCCATGGCATAACTAAGCTAAACTCTAAAATAGCATGTTTTAAAAATGATAGTAATGACTAAAGCCTCAGAACCCCTGCTGTGACTCACTCACCACAGTAACCCTGCTGCAGAGAGAATGTGGAAAGAGGAAGTATATTCTGATTGCTTCTCACAGAGGTTACGGCCTGTTTGCTGACTGTCCGGTTTGATTGCGTTACTTCACTGACCTCCGATCATCTGTTCTCCCCTGAACCTGCAGCAGGGGCCCAGTGTGGCCGAGATGATGGTGTCTTTGGGGCCCGCAGAGATCAGCCATCGATTCCAGAAACTCGCGCTGCTTTCAGAGACGAGTCAAACCTAACGGATACCTGATGAAGACGAGCTGCTGTTGAAGACAGTATGTGGAGAGTTACGTGAAATCACCTGCTGATTCAGCCAAAGCTAACTGGGACACATTTAAAACCTGCTGCACTCCACTGAGTTAATTTGAATAATACTTGAATTATTATAAATGTTTTATAAAAGGGATGAAAACTGATTGTTCTCACGTGGTCTGTGTGTTTTATTCATCTCTGAGATTTTACAGGACCAGGCAGCCGAGGACGGGAAGTACCCGCTGTACTTTTATGCAAATTTTCTTGTGCTTTCTCCTGCAAATCGTTTTATTTTAATTTTTTTAAACTATAACAGACGGATGTATAGTACATTCACAAGAAAAGCCTTTCCAAGAAGTCATCAATACCAAACATTTTAGCTTTCCTCCGTCATGCCAATAGTGGGACACTGAAAGCAGCTGTTATAAATTAAGTAATAGCTCTTATAGTTGTTGTTTTTTTAGATGTCAAATTCGAGTAATGTGGAGGTTGGGAGAAGAAATTCACTGTAATGGATTTGTGTAGCATTTAATACTGATCATTACTGTTGTATTTTTTTTATTGACAAGAAAGTAACTGAAGTACAGTTCTGATGTACGTATACTTAAATGGCCCCTTTTTGCTGCTTTGTACCTCTACTTCAATACAATTCAGTCACAAATATTGTAGTTTTTACTCCACCACACTTGTTTGACAGCTATAGTCAGTACTTCATTCACTGTTAAAGATTTTACAGGCAAAATTAAACTACCCAACAGCCTACAAAGTACTTAAAACTAGCTCCACCTCAACCAGGTACTCGTAGCCGTGAAATGCTAAACACGTACGAATGCAGAAGTATTAAGAATGCAGTGCTAAAATATATAATATATGCAAAACTCACAAAGGTTAGATTGATAAGTACATTTGCTTTGGTTCCCTTGTAATGGAACAGAACACGGGACAGTACACAACACGGAACACATGCACACATGTACAGTATATCATTTTATGGGTACTTTAATATATTACTACTTGTACTTAGGTAAAGGACTTAACCACTTTTATACGTGCAATATATAAGTGTCAGTAAGAGATATACTGTTATATAGTATTTCAATATTCCTACTGGTTTATTAACACGTATGAACATAGTTTATGTAGTTGCTGGTTGAGGAATTCCAATTTCTTTTGCATAGTTTAATAGAATAACTAGCTAGATCTCTGCATGAGCTCTGTATCTAAAAGAATTACTTGAGTAACGTTTCATGTACTTCGTTATTTAGCACTGGTAGTCGGTAATATGAGTAAAAAGGACAATTTTCATCTGAAATGTAGGCAAGTAGAAGTAGCAGAACATTTAATTATTCAAGTACAACTACCTCAGAATTGCACGTAAGTGTAACACTAAATGTGTGTAAATGTGCAGTGCTATGTAGCGCTGCTGAGGAGAGGGGTGTGTTAATTTGGCTGGTGTGTCAGGAGGGTGACTGGGCGTGAGTGTCACATGCCACGGCACAGGCTCGGTTTGACACCTCCGCTTCCCCCACAGAAGACGCGCACGGTTCGGCTACTAAACCTCTCTGGAGCTGCAGGAGAAAGGACGGCAATGGCGACCGCTGACAGCCAGGCAACGTTCGAGTCATGGCTCAGTAAGTAAACAGGGAAATATGTAGCGTTTATAAAGCGTATAAAGCGTTTTGTTTAGCGAAATTAATCTCCTCATCTGAACTAACTTTGTTGTTTGCTAACGCCACAACAACAGTCGGCTCGTGCCGTGAGTTTGACTTTATTACAGTAATAACTGCTTAGATTTTCAGTTGAGTTCTACAATGTGTCGTTTTATTTTAACTTTATCGGAATAAGTTTCGTATTGATGCAGAAAGTATTAGTTGGAACAGGAAGTTGGTTAGACCATGCGCGCGCCTATAGCCAGCGCTGGAGCGCTGTGTTGTGTTTGCGCTCGCGCTCATGTGCACGCGCATCGTGGCAGAACATTCGTATACATTCTTGCTGAATGAAGTTTTATTTTGAGTAAAAGCAGCAAAACTACCATGGAGGAATACACACTGACAAGTTAAAGACCAGCATTTAAACATAAACTGGAAAGTAAACAAGTTTACCCAGTAAAATGTACCTAGATATGAAAAGTACTGCTCTTAAATTTCCTTCAGATTAAAGTTTGACATCCTCTTTGTCTTTCTTTAGCTTTTTAGATATTTTGTTGTTTACAATGTGGCTCACGATTAGAGATATAAGTACTATTTATCATGAGCAATGCGACATCTGAATCTTCAAAGTAAATAAAAACAGATAAATGAAGGGGAGAAAAGTCTAATGAAAGGCAACAAGTTAAGTTGTAGGATCTTGAAATAGTAGTAAAAGTAAAATAACTTTAGTAGAACTAAGTACTGTACTTGGCATAACATAGGTATTGATTCACTGTTTTCTGTGTAAATCTGTCCATCCTTCATTTTCAGTTCCTCATTAAATTGTGTAATTGTTTGCATATATTTGATCTAATTCATGCACATCATGAAAATATGTTTTTGTACGTTCAATCTGTTTCTCTGGTGTTCCAGACCAGGCCACAGACCCAAACAACCAGGAGGACAGATGGGACTGCATCCAGGGCTTCTACCAGCTCGTTGACCAGGAGACTGATGGGTAAACTGAACACAGTCTGCGCACCTCATCAAAGTTGTTTCCTTCTTTTTAAGGCGTTCGCACACATCGCCAAGTAGATCCTCAGATCATCCTCTGTGCTGAAGTTTTTCGGGGGAGGCTGTTTGCTTCGAGAAGTCACTTTATTGTATTTGCGGCGTTTGAGAAAGTGTTGCTTCACATCCATGTTGCAGAAACAGCCGCTCAGTTACACCATCATGCAAGAGAGAGGAGGATGTCTGCAGCACCTTTCTGCCCTTTGACCCTTTTCTTAGTTTCAATATCAATGTGTTATAATTTCTTCATGTAACGTTAATTAAAAGCAAGCATGGATGAAAATGTTTTTTAGGTTTTCATCCGTTCCTTTTAGCTTTAATCAAGCATTGCTATGTGAATAGTACTTGTTTAAATGTCGGTATAACATGATGCTCACGGTCTACTCGGGCATTTTAAATGTGACTTGTTTTCTGCTTTCAGGCCACAGGTAGCCGTTCGTCTTCTCGCCCATAAAATCCAGTCTCCACAGGAGAAAGAGGCTCTGCAGGCTCTCACTGTAAGTCATCACATTCTTCATCTCTACATGTAGTACACAGATGATACACGTGACGCAGTTTTATCTGTTGTTAAATATGCAGTGTATTTGTCTGAGAAGTTCCCAGAAGCGACAAGAAACTTCACATATACACATCTGTTTTTATTTAATGCAATTTATTATGGGTTATGCACGGTATTTGTCACAGCATCTTTTAAAGGTACCGACCATTCTTTGAAAAATAAATGTCTTTGTTCCGACCCTGGTAGAGGGGCGGGCCTGTGAAGAATATCTGTGACTAAATTTCATCACATGGCCCGAGAGACATGAGGGTTTTAATTGGCATTTTGAATGTGCTGTGACAGCACACGGTTTGTCATATAATGTAACTTAGGGAAGCGTCATGAGCCTCATGTCATGTGCCCTTTAAAGGTGGTTAACCATGAAACACGCTGTGAAAAATCTGTTCTCTCTTTATTCTTTGTGTTGCGTAAAACCAAGAGGCTTTTGTTTCTTTCATTTTCACATGTGGAGAAAGCTTCCGTTGATCATGATTTATTCTGACTTGGTGCTTTCCAGGTTCTCGAGGCATGTATGAACACCTGCGGGAAGAGGTTCCACAGCGAGGCCGCCAAGTTTCGCTTTCTCAATGAGCTCCTCAAACTCTTAACGCCAAAGGTAATAATAGAGAGACAGGTGTCCTTAGCTCCTTATGCGTGCATGTACCAATACCGTTTCATTAATTACTCATTCATTATATAATCAAGGGTAATGTAACTGGTCTGCTCTGAGCTATTTGGGGGAAAGGCAATGACGGCACACTTTTGACTTTTGAAATCTGACTTTACTGGCAATGTTTTCCGATCACAAGTAACAAAGTGCTTCTCTCAAGACGGCAAAGTAAAAATCAACAAATAGCGAAATAGATTAGTCCACTTTCAGTAATATAAAAGGACAAATAAAAAAGTCTGAGAATGAAAGTATAATCCAGATGAGCTCTGGGATAAAACCGTTTCAAGAAGCAATTTAAAATCCATTTGGAATATTAGACACAAGTTTTAAGAAACACAGGAACCATAAATGCAAATCTAGAGCTCTAAACACCAATTTTAATCAAAATGACAGTCGAAAGAACCAAAAAATCCTATCAAAAAGTATCAATCAGTTCAATTTATTAACAACATGTTGGCTCTCAGACCTTCATCAGTCAAATTCATACAAATAAACAAATTAAAGTCAATAAGCTCTTTGTGTAAACAAAACCATACTGAGCTCTTTCAGTTGAAAACTTAGTGGTACATTAACAAATCATCTACTACGCTACAAAAATATATATCCACTGCTGAATCAAATAGAAAAATACAGATCAACATGAATAGAAGTGTAAAGAGTTAAAGACGTGACTGACCTGGTTGATCTTTTCTGAGCAGTACTTTGGCGCGTGGACTCCACAGAAAGTGAAAGACAGAGTGACGGAGGTCCTCTACGGCTGGACTCTTTGGCTAAAGGACGAACCCAAGATTCAGGAAGCTTACAACATGCTCAAGAAACAAGGTCTGGATGCAACAGATAAACTCTTGAGACTAACCTCACCAACAACACCTCAATTATTCACATGAGATATTACGAGTTTAGAGGCACATAAAAGAGTGATCTATATTGTAATGTGTTGCTTTGTGTTATGTCCTTCCCCCAAGAATAAATCCATCTTGCCCTTCTTGTTGTTATTTAAGGTATTGTGAAGAAAGATCCCAAACTACCAGACACAGTTATAATGGCGCCTCCAACACAAAGAACCACAGACTCTGTTTTTGACCAGGAGGACAAGGCCACAGTGAGTATTTGTGTTTAATATTCGCAAATGTAACGTAAACTTTCATCCTGCTAAAAACAGGATGTTTCTGTATCATCAGCTGTTAGCCAGATTACTGAAAAGCGCCCGTCTTGAAGACCTGGAAACAGCCAACAGACTCATTAAAAGCACCATGAAAGAGGTGAGCGGTGGTGGTGGCCATGTTTGCATGCATGCAGCTGTAATAGTTGTATGAGTTTGACATTGATTTGTTTGTGTGTGTGTGTGTGTGTGTTTCAGGAGCAGGAGAAGGCAGAGAAAGTGTCAAAGCGTGAATCGACTCTGAAGGAGGTGGAGAGCAGCACCGAGCATCTCAGAGAGCTGCTGGACGAGCACACGATCGCTGGAACCTCGTTACAGCCGAGTGATGACGTGAAGGTAAAGGACAATCCCGATGAAGGTCCCACAGAAATGTTCCAATCTTACATTAGGGCTTCAGCACGAGCCTCCATTAAATCAGCGGGCCTGAATAAATGAATAACGCTACAGACTCAGGTAGTTTTCATCACTATAATTAGTTATTCACATAATCATCTGTGTGAATTTGGTTCAGTGCAACATGTTGCTTCTCTTCTAGTACAACTGGTACACGCTGGTCTGTCCCTTGTATGAAGAGATCATCATTGCTAAATAGAAAGATAGTGCAGCCTGGTTCATATCCCCCCCCCCCCTCCCCGGCTGCAGGCCTTGTACGAGCGCTGTGATGGACTGAGGCCCAGCTTGTTCCGCCTGGCCAGCGACACGATGGACGACGACGCAGCTCTGGCGCAGATCCTGGCGGCTAACGATGAGCTAACGCTAGTAGTAAACAGCTACAAAGACCGGGTGGGAAAGAGAGAGTGTAACGGCGGACGAGAAAGAAGTAAAAGTGAGGAAGAAGTGGAGGGTAAAAGTAACGGTAGGCCTCATTTTGTCCGCTGTTCTGTTCTTTCTTAGTAGTCCCTGTGGACAACAGCTTGTTTGTGTGTTTGCTGATCTTTGAGTCTGTCTCGTCTTGTTCCTCCAGCTCCAAAGAGTCCCAGAGAGATTAAAAGCTACCACCTCATCGACCTGTCAGCGCTGGACTCTCCGCGCACACACAGAAAAGCTGATTCACCAGCGTCCTTTGACTCCTCTTCACCCATGTTTTCCTCTCTTCTGGAAAGTACCTTCCACTCAGCGGCTGAACAGGACTTCAATGAATTAGGTAGGCCTGCATTCGTACCCTAGCTTGTTCTCTCTCTCTCTCTCACAGTGATGACTCATAATGTAATGATGTTCTGTCCTGTGACTACAGAGTTAGATCATCTGGTCTCAAAACAGACTCCAGGGACCACAACGTCGTATTATCAAGAACTTCTACAGGTGAAGCTTGGATGTAAAGTTTAAAGATAAATCTTTTTTTTTAAAGATTTTGTTTAGAAGAGTGTTTAACACAGTTTTGTCTTCTTCTGTCAGCTTAATGGAGAAGTTCAGATGAAGAATGCTGAGCAGAATGGAGGGAGAGGTGTGGTGTTGAGAGCCCGTGGATGTGGGGGGAGCAGTGCGTCATCTAACGGGACTAGCATTTGGTAAGGATGGAGGAAAGAAAGAAACCATTGTAGACTGCCCAAATCAGAAATTACATTTAGAAGGAAAAGTCTATAACGCAGTCACACCAATAATATCCGCCTGCTGATGTGTGTTGCTGGACAAACGAAACGAAATTGCAAAGCAGTAAACAAACAAAATTGCCTTCTTGTATAAGTATATATGACTCACATTCCTCTCAATTCATGTTTCATTTAGTTTTGTTCTCCGCCTTTATTTACTCTCCATATTTCTTCTATCAGGTCACTCCCTCACGATCAACAATTTACTACAGAGTCGGAATCACCGTCCAAGTCGCAGAACCAGCTCAGTGAAATATCTGGATATCCTGGGAAATTTACCCCAGAACTCCTGAAAAACATCTTTGTTCCAATGGAAACCATCAAATCCAGTATGTTCATTTGGCCAAACAGCTGGCTGAACTTTGTGTTTCATAGTTCCTTCATCATGTGTTTATCGCCCACTAGATAACCTGTGCTAAATGTCTGTTTCTTTTCTTGTGTGCGATAGGAATTCTTGAGCCGATCACTGTGTACGATCACGGCGGCGTCCACGTCTCTCTCCATTTTGCCAAAGACTCTCCGCCGGGTCATCCAGGTGTCGCCGTGGTCGTCATCTCCACGGTGAACACATCTGCCCTCCATGTGAAAGACTTCCTGTTCCAAGCTGCTGTTCCAAAGGTATGAAAAAAACAACTGCAATTCTTCTTTCACATGTAAGTGCCATGTTCGGTTATAGACAGCTGCTACATCTTCCCCCGTAGTGTCTCTGTGTTAAAGCTTACCACGTAGACAAATGTGTTTCAAGCAGATGCCCAGTGCTGATTGGTCGCTGCTCCTTTATACCGATTATGTTAGTTTCATCGTGTTACTTGGAGACACTTCAGATTGGCCAGGCTGTGGAAAATGCTCAATTTGCTTTCTTTTTTTTTTTTACACACATTTGTCATTCGACGATTTGCTGTGCCGACCGGTTTTCCATGAATGAGTTGAATATCCATTTAAATGTCATTTTATTACTTGTCCTGCAGACGGTATTGGTGAAACTTCAGCCTGCCTCGGGGACAAACTTACCTTCATACAACCCTCTCCTGCCTCCGCCGGCCATCTCCCAGGTCCTCCTGTTGGCTAATCCTCACAATGTGAGTTTGAGGAGCGCTGCTGATTTACATTAAAAGCTCAACATGCTAGTGATGACTTCACTGTTTAGCATCAGTGGTGGCAGAAGTACTCAGATCTTTTACTTAAAAGGTAGTAGTACTACATTAGTACAAGTACAAATATAAGCAAGAAATATAACCAAAAGTAAGTACTTGTTATGCAGAAAAGCCCATTTCAGAATTATTATTGATTCATTATTGTGTTCATCACTTTAATGTTGCAGCTTGTAACGGTGGAGTTGGTTTAATTACTTTAGAACCTGCTGGGTAGCGTGTGTATATTTAGCCTGGAACAACAAAGAAACAAAGGATATTCACTGTTTTGAAGCAAGGCACAGGGACTTTCCGTGGGTGTTGAGGTGCTGCAGTGTTTGTTCATGGACAAAATGAAACCTACGCCGTACATTTACTGTTCATTTCTTCTCTACTCTGATCGCAATACCTGTCCGCTCTGACTATATCCACAATCGATCTCTCTTTCTCGCTCTCTTAATCCCATATATGTATGTGTGTGTGTGTGTGCGTCTTTTAATTAATTATTGTTTTGAATTCTGTGAACTTTGACTGTCAATCAAAACTAATAATGTCCTACAGCCAATGGCGTTGCTTTTATATCGCAGCTGCGAGTGACTTTCACTTTTCACTGGTGGATTGCCTGCTAATGTTACACTCTGGTTATAGTATGGTTTGCCATAAAAAGTCATAATATAGGGTGTAATCAAAAAATCATAGTATAGTATGTCATAAAAAACATCTCACATGTTTGGCCTCTTCCTTTAGCGGAGGGTGCGTCTACGCTACAAGCTGACATTGACACATGGAGACCATCGGCTGAACGAGAACGGAGAGATCGACAACTTTCCTGACTGGACCTCTTTGATCGGCCACTAAAAAAAAACAACTTTGACTGAAAACAAAAAACCTCTGGACCTGAAATCTAGATTGTGAAAGCAAAAGAGAGTAACATGAAGAAAAACCCAACAAAAAGGTGGGAGATGCCTGCAGCCGATCCTCAAGAGGGAAACAACAAACAAATGTCAAAGCTGTATTTTCGGAAATTATTGTGTTTTCTGATGCATTAATGATGAAACCTCAGAAAGATTTATATTACTCTTAAAAGGTGAGTAAACTCTATATGGCATGTTAAAATGTCACAGTTCTGGTGGGTTTGGTGAATCCCTAATTCTTCCTGTTCAGGTTCCTTCTGCTGTTTCATCAGCTGCTGCCTCCTGCCTGTTGTTGAGCTGCAGTTTGATAGCGGTTTGTTCACTGACGTATTTATTTGCACTTGAGCATTTGTGACCTAAAAAAAATCCAGTGCCTTAAGATGGAAGATGTGATGTTTTTAATATGTATTTATGTTAAGAATGAGGTTGTCTTAAGGAAATGAATGTGTGAGAAACTTGTCAGAAAACATTGCATTTGCAGGTAATTTGCTGGATTTGACTGCATAATTGATGAAAAACGTAACGATGTAAATGCACTGACGTCACATTTTATACAAGCTGTGTTTTTAAACACTGCGACTTAAAACACGAGCAAATGAGGGAAAGATCTTCACCACTACGACTAAACTTTGGGAGCATTTAGAAAACCAAATAAATCGCCAAAAACATCAAGCACAAGCAAATCAAGAAACACTTCTCTGAACCTCGAGACATGTGGCATAAAGAAATGTGCTACAAATACAGGAAACGGGCACAAACAGGACAATGTAAATGATCCTTTGAAGTATTTTTTGCATTATTTCTTTTTTTCATGTGACAGACGTCACAGTTAAATTCTTAATTTGCTTTGTTTTCTTAAGTTTGTTTTTACGACATGCTCTGTCACTGTTGATTTCATGTGTTCAGTGTTTCCTCACCAGCTGTTTTATACTGTGAAGCTTTATCATTTTCAGCCCAGAGCAAAACAATTCTGTGCAGCTGAACCGGTTCATCATCTCATAGTGTCAGATATACACATGTTTAAAACGGCTTGCAAGTAAAGTTGGTCAAAAAATTTTTGGACGACTTAATAAAGCCAACGTGGATGTTTCTGTAAATGCTTCCATCCTATTGTTGCTCTGCCACATGTCATCAATAAATACACACGGTCTGAAACACGGTGCACAACGAAGCTCGTGTTCCGGCCCACCAAATCATCCAAATCCAAAAACAAGATAAAGGTTTTTATGATAATATAATGTTATTTATAAATTATTACTATTATTTATTATTGTCGTCATTCAGACAACTCTTGAGATTTAAACAGCTTGTTTAATCAATCCAGCAGTACAAAGCTTATATTTATTAAGCTTAAAGTTATGCAGTTTCCCATCAAGAAAACTGGATTTGTTTCTAAACTGGATTTGTTGATGACACACTATACAATGAATTATGTTTTTTACATACTTTACAATGACTTACGATGCTATTTCAACATAATATACTCTGACTTCTCATGACTTTTTAAAAAATACTCTTTTTAATATACTATGCTATGAATCTTTCATGACATTTACTATACTATGATTTCTATCGACATACTAAGCTCTGACTTTTTTGGCTTGACATACTACGCTATGACATTTTTTTCGACATACTCTGCTCTGGCTTTTTTATGACATGCTTTATGATTTGTTTTTAACAAAGTATAATATAGTTATTTTTAGACATACTAGAATACAACTTTTTTTCCATGGAGATTACTTTCTATTACTTTTGTGACTTTTTTTTTTACATAAATAAGTCATAGTTTAGTATGTCGAAAAAATCATAAAAAAGTCATAGTATAGTTTGTCGAAAAAAGTAATTAAATGCCATAGTATTGTATGTCGAAGAGATAAAAAAGTCATAGTATAATATTTATAAAAGTCATAGTATATTATCTATAAAAGTCATAGTATAATATTTATAAAAGTCATAGTATAGTATGTTGAAGAAAGTCATTCAATGTCAGTATAGTAAGTTGTAAATATTCATAAAAATGCAACAGTATATTATGTCGAAAAAAAGCGATAGTACAGTGTGTTGGAAGTTGTCAGAAAAAAGTGTAGCACAGTAAGTCATAAAAAGTCAAACAAATGCCATAGTATTGTCTGTCGAAGTAAGTCATAAAAAAGTCCTATGTATGCAATAGTACAGTATGTTCCTCCACTATACTAAGTCTTTTTGAAATCGTATACTATTACTTTATTGCATTGTTTTTGACATACTCCACTATCACTATGACTATTGGACATGCTATACTGACTTTGTCATGAAAGATCCTTTCCAGTGTTATTAGTATTATTCAGGGAAGAAAGATATCAGAGACCTGCAACTGGAAAAAATCCATCCATCAACTTCATTGATCATATTTATTATATGACATCAGCAGATTAAAATACATGTTTATTATGTACACATATGAAACAGGGGTGTTAGATAAAGTGCCAAATTACATTTTTACAAAAACAAAAAAAAACAACAAAAGGGATTTGTGGAAGACCATCACACCCATGTACCCTGGGGTCCCACAGTGCATTGCTTAACGGACACGTAGCCTTGTTTGGAGGAAGGCTGAATTGCTCAGTGCTGGTTGTGGGTCAAAGTTTGGCACGATTCACCCGGAAATCAAACTCACAGTCTGGTAGCGGTGAAACTGTCGTTACGGGATGAATACTGGGTGTGTTTTTTTTAAAAACATGAACAGACATCGACACATACGACAGGTCAGCCTTTTGAGTTGGACTGCAAATGTTTCCACCTTGACATAATGGTCCAGATATCATTCAGAACCCAGCATTTCTGCTTTAAGGTTAGTATGCGAGGAGGTTAAACTGTTCCTAGACCAGAGCCCAATGTTGTTCTCAGCATCCTGTTCACAAGTGGAAAGTTTTTGTTGTAAATGTAAGACGACAGACATTTTCCAGACTTTTTTTCTCTTTTCTGACAAACAGAGGAAGTTGACATTCTTTTAACAGTTGTTGGTCATTGTGTTCCTAATAAACAAGACGGTGAAAGAGAGACGATGGGTAGTAGCCCATGAGATCGCACTTAATTGCATGTATGCCTTTCAGTTTTTTTTCAGGAGCTACAAAAGGCCGATAAAACAGTTTCCCCACTTTTATTATCCTCCGTTTTATTCCCTACGGCAGTGATGGATGTACAGATACTCTGTGATGAAGACGCAAAACTCTTTCTATCACTACCAGTTGATTAAGACGCTGCAACAATCAGGAAGGCGTACGCTCCGGTGCTGTACTTTTCCGTCTGGGAGCTGTCAAGTTTGTTTAAGACATCTGCAGTTGAGCCTTCAACTCTCCATCCTCCCCTGACCCTGTTAAGGTATGTTTTTACACCCAATTAACATTCCTCTTCCTCCTCCTCTGCAGCTTCATCCTCAACAGGCGCCTCCTCCTCTTCTGCTTCTTCCGACTCTCCTTTCTCCTCTTCGATATCTTCTGTTTCTCCGACCTCCTCCTCAGCTTTGTCCTCCATTTCTGCTTCCTCCTCCACTTTCTCCTCTGTCTCACCTTCCTCTTGTTCTAAGTTTTCCTCAGTCTTTGTTGCCGCCTCCTCTTCTTCTTCCTCCTCCATCCTTCCCTCCTCTTTTTCCTCCACTTCTGCCTCCTCATTTTCGAATTCCTCTTCTACCTTTTCCAAAGTTTCCTCACCTTCACCTTCCTCAGTCTTTGTTGCCGCCTCCTCTTCTTCTTCTTCTTCTTCCTCCTCCTCCATCCTTCCCTCCACTTCTGCCTCTTCTACCTTTTCCAAAGTTTCCTCACCTTCACCTTCCTCAGTCTTTGTTGCCTCCTCTTCTTCTTCTTCTTCTTCTTCCTCCTCCTCCATCCTTCCCTCCACTTCTGCCTCCTCATTTTCAAATTCCTCTTCTACCTTTTCCAAAGTTTCCTCACCTTCACCTTCCTCAGTCTGCGCCTCCTCATTTTCTGCAGCGTCCTTGCCTTCCAATTCTTCTTCCTGCTCTTGATCTCCTTCCTGATGTTGCTCATTCTCTTCCTCCTCTTCTTTAGTCTCCTCTTCCTCCTCTGCATCGTTCACTTCATCTGTTTTTCCTTCGCGGTCTTCTTCTACTTCCTCTGCATGTTCCTCCTCCTCCTCTACGTTCTCCTTCTCCTCCTCCTCCTCTTCTTCTTCTTCTTCGCCCTCTCTTTCTCCAGTCTCCTCCTCTTCCTCCTCCTCGTCTTGGACTCCATTCTGTTCGCTGTTGTGATTCTCCTCGTCTTCTTTCTCAGTTTCTACATCGTCCTGCGTACGGTCTGCACCCGCGTCATCACAGGCGCTCATCCTGCCGTTGCTCCTCAGGTGTATGTGGTTGTGGTTGTTGTGCTCCAGGTCCTCCAGGCTGAGTTCGAACTGGAAGTGGTCATGCTGCAGGTGTCTGTCCGGGGGAGGTGATGGGGACTGGGGCATGGTGTTCAGATACCACTCCCTGTTCTCCTCCAGCGTGTCCAGCAGCTCCTGGGCGTCTGGGTGCACCAGGTCAGCCCACGTCTCCCACAGCGGGTGGACGATGTAGTCGATGAAACCCACCTTGAAAAAAAAAAAATAAAAAAAATAAAAAGAAATCACCCCTGACACCATGATAACAAGTAGTGTTAAAGAAACAATTAGACATTTAGGGGATACTCTGGATTGCTTTCTTGCCCAGAGTTTGATGAGAAGACTGATACCATTCTCATGTGTGTGTGTGGTAAATATAAAGGTACAGCCCGCACCCAGTTAGCTTTGTCCAAATGTAACAGAATCTGCCTACCAGCACATCCTAAACTCATACATTAACAGATTATATCTTTGTTCAATCCATTCAAGTTAAAATTGACAAATGCGTGGTCTTAAAGGGACTCAGGGACGTCCTCATGCCCCTGTAAAATTACAAATTGTAGTTTTTACACTTGGGTTTTTGTATTTTCTATTTCAGATATTGTTGATTATGTTGTAATTTTATTTGGTTGTTTATTCTGTACACATAACATCTATTCTTCTGTCCATCCTGGAGAGGGATTCGTCCTCTGTTGTCTCTGAGGTTTCTTCTTTTTTTTTTTCTCGGGTCCAATGACAGAGGATATTATACTTTGTACACAGTGTAAAGCCCCCCCCGAGGCAACCTTGTGATTTGTGATAATGGGCTATACAAATAAAATTGAATTGAATTAAAAATATTGAAATTAACTTTGGGCAGAGCCGCCAAGAAAGCCGTTAATGTTTATTTCCAAACATCTATCGTACAAACATTGGAATGGTATCAATCTTCTCATTTAACTCTTGGCAAGAAAGCAAATAAGCTATTACCGGAAGTTTGACAGAGAAAAATGTCACTGTTTAACATCATGGAGACCAGAAGAGGCATATGACTGAAGCTGCTGCCAGCTGGATGTTGACACAGTTGTGATACATGCATCCAAAATACAATAACAAAAGCTTTAATGATTGCCAGGATTTATCTTAAATTGTTCCAGGCTTCATTACTGGGCCAGATTTATGAAAAAGAATGTTTTTCATGTTTGGGGGGGAAATCAAAGTCTAGCTCAACAAACCCACATCCGCCTCTTTCTCTTGCCACAATGCAAAACAAGAATCTTTGAATTAATTGCAATTATTTTGGTGATCCTTTGACTTATATTCTAGCGCCGTCATCAGGTGAATTCTTTTCCAATATTCTGGTTTATGACCATCAGTCTGAGCTCTACTTTAATTTAATTACATACTTTGACGTATACTTGACATACTATACTATAACTATCCACGGAGTGAAACTTGTGTTTGTCAATGACACAAACAATGGCCTGAAAAAATGACCGTTAGCACTTCTAACAGTCTTCACAATAAACTGAAGGGTTCAAGCTTCAAACACAGTTTCAATCAATCAATTTGGAAAGTGGATGGGAGAGCGGGATTGAGCGTTACCTGGCTCTTCTCCACGGAGGCGGTGTGTTTGTCACACATGGCACTGATCTCCATCCCTCTCTCTCGCTCCTTGTCACCCTGTCGGAAGAACTCCTCCATGATCCTCTCCGTCCACTGTCTGTATATAGGCAGCGTCTTGGTGGGGTTGCTCAGGTCTGCACAGTGCACCATGTTCCTCAGCACCTAAACACGCACATCGCACAGTGTAGATAACAATTTATTCACACGGTTCAGTAGATTCTTGAGTCTGCGTGAGCAGACATACCGGCGAGAAAGTTACCTGTATCCGTTCTGTGTAGTTGTCCAGGAGCAGCACACCGGAGCTGGTCACCTTCTTGGTCTCCACCATGGTCTTCAGATCAGCCAGGAGGGTCATGTGTTTGGACATGTCTGTGGCCAACACCTGCAGACAGAGACAGTAAGAAAAAACTAGAAAAGAAGCACAACGGTCCAAACTAATCTCTGTCCTTATCTGTCAGATGAAACCAAAAACCAAGGATGAGTGATGTGATGCGAGATTGGTTTCAGGGACGAGGATAGTCATTTAAAAGAGCGTACTGCCACACAAAGAGCACTTATTTAAAATGATTCTGAGATCCTTAGAAAACGTCCTGACCATATCGATGACGAGCTTGCGAAGGCTCTGACGTTGTCGCTTGGTGAGGTTCTGGAAGATGTCACAGTGTTCCTGGTGCAGAAGCTTGAAGCCCACAGCGAGGTGGTGGTTCTCCAAAACGGACTCATCGTTATACATGAGGGCCAGCTCAGAGTCTGGGCACAGTGAAGAGAGAGAGAGAGATTATACCTTTTGTCTGTGTCTGTGTGTGTGTGTGTGTGTGTGTGTGTGTGTGTGTGTGTGCACTCACTAGTGTTGATGAGGAACTGATTGGAAACCCCGGGGTGGTCTACATCGTGGATCGCTGCAGCGAACAGAGCAGCGAGGATCTCCAGGTCGGTGAAGACGGCCTGAAAGGAAAGTCAGAGAAACCTAGATATTCTCATCCTTGATTTTAAGTTGTTATCCAAATAAAATATGTTAATTTGTCCGTTTATTTAGTCAGTAAAATCTTGATTTCATAAATGTAATTTGCAATGCAATCACTTTGTAGTTGAATCCTGCTTTCTAAGAGGGACTTCATCTTTTATTCATAAAGGACTTCCTTTATTCGTCACAAGAGGACTTAAATTACTGTAGTTGTTCGCTTGTTGACAGCAAATCTAGATGAAATTTGGTTAAAACCAATTTCATAGTTTTTGGGGTGAAAAACAGCCCTCAAACACAAAGGAGTACAACTTGAATTGAAGGTGTTTGCAAAGGCTGGCCTTGTGTTACATGCTTGTGTTATGACTGGATACTGCTCTAAAATCAGACAAAGAGACGTAACAGAGTAATGAACATTTTTATATTATAATGGCTTTAATACTGTCACATGCTCGTTGACAACCTGAGTACAGCTTGCAAAATATAAAATAAAGTTAATATATATCATTTTTTAATACATAAAATCGTTTAAGAAAATTACAGTTACATTCAGAACGCCTTCATATATCAGCGACTGCCTTTCATTTTGAGCAGGACATGTGCTATACAAATAAAGTTATTATTATTATAAATTAGATTCAATTCGATTTAGCTTAGTCCACGAAGGAATGCCACAAGTACTGACCCAAGTTTCTCTAGTTGTATGTGCTGTCTGATATCTCTTCACCATAACATGTAACTGGGAGGTTGTGGGTTTTTCCAGTTTTATTAACTTTAAAAAGGTTGCGATATTGCAATTGACAATATCTTTGTTGAACCTGAGAGGTCAAAGCTCAAGCTTTGACATACATATGTTTAAATGAACAAATTATTGTTGTGCTGTTGTTTTTAAACATTTATCGCTCAGCATCAGGAAAGGTTAGGTTCTAATAGTTTTCCAGCCTTGGTTTAATAATAGAGTTCTGTTGTGCTGCATTTAGATATATTCTAAGAAAGAAATGTGTATTCGTCAAACCAAACAGAAAAATTAAAACTTTTCCATGACTGACCCCAGCGGGTAGATCTGGATGACCAGCATGTGTGTGTGTGTGTGTGTCAACATACATCAAGAGCAGGTGTGGACAGGAGGACGTGAATGGACTGGGTGACATCCGCAGCATGGAGGCTGTTGTGGTACGCTACATTTCCATGATAATGGTCCTCCAGAGTCATCACATAAGTGACAAAGGTGTCGACTGGGATACGAAACGTCTTCAACAGCTCTCGCTCCTGATGAGGGAGGACATGGAGCCACAACTTCACACATCATGTACATCCGCAAACCCAGCACACACACACACACAGAAAACACACACACACACTCAGTTTGTTTACCTGGAAGATGGTGTACATGATGCAGCTTAGAGGCCTGTTGTTGGAGAATTCTGCTAATCTGAATACGTTGAAACTCCATTTGTCCAGATCCTCCAACTCCTGCTCAAACACCACACAGAGACAGACATAATGTTAGAAATGTCCTCTCTAAAACCCACAATTCCAGCACCGTCGTGTATTCCTTCAAGTATGAAGTACCCTTTAATAGATGGGATTCCGGCTTGTATATGGCGTTGGGACAAGACTGATTGTTGTGCTCCTCGATAGATTAATCAAATTACCTAAATGAATAAACTGAGAAAGAGCAACAACAACAATCAATCATATATATACAGACATTAGACCAATTAGAGGTGAAACAATTAGTTGTTTATTTGATTGATTTGATTTGACAGAGAAAGAAAAACCCGGAAAAAAACACTGGTTCCAGCTTCTCAGATATAATATATACTGGATTTATTTTCTACTCCTCTGTGAGAGTAAACTGAACACCTTTGGGTTTCGGACTGTTTGTAGGACAAAACAATCCATCTGAATAACTCACCTTGGGATTTAATAGATTGATTTGGCAGCTTTTCAATATTTTCTTTTGACATTTTATAGACCCAACAATTAATCAAGTAAATAGCTGTCAGAGAATTCAATGATGAAAATAATTGTGAGTCACAGCCCTAAATTACTTTGGGCAAACACTAGAAATGATTCAATACGTAAGGAAATATAATGATTTTATGTAGATTGTTTTTATGATTACATTTATTGTTAGTAAGATAAAATGTATCATTATAAAAACTTTAGATCTTGTGCCTTTTGAACAATGATCACACAGCAGACCTCCCTTTTGTCTCCTTTAGAATAAACTTGATGTGTCAGCGTGTCCAGAGACACTATGAATATCTATAACCTCTTTGACTGACTGACTAGTCCAGTTCTTAATGATGATGACAGGCCTGAGGCCACAAAACATTTTTCTGTCAGCCATGCTAAAGGTGTGGCTGTCTGAATGGATGTCAGTGGAATGCCATGGAATTTGGTACAGACTTTCATGTTCCCCTCAGGATGAATTCCCACTTTGGTGATTTAAAAACCAGGGTGAACCAGGGACAGTTTCCATCCTACTGTCTGTACTGGCTTTTCAAACAGTTGGTGCTACAGACTGGATGGAATTAAAAAACGTGGCACCAAGCACAAAATACACAGAAAATAAATAACGAAGGAATTCCATCTTTATGTGATGCAGACATGGAGCGAACGTTTGAGTACTATGAGCACATCAACCCCGAAGTGGCTTAGTGTTCAGATGAAAGTCTTACAGCCTTAACACACTAAAGAAACATGCACGTCCCACAGAAAACCGCGCACTTCAATCTCAATGTGATACTAAAAGAGCCTCGGCCGTAAATCATTAAAAGAAGAAAAGTGCAGGAGACAAACTTCCTCCATACTACTGGAAGGGTTAACTAAGCCAAGATTGAAATAAAACTATTCAAAGATGCAAATCTACGGAGCCACCGGTCCAGAGAGATTTATCTCGTGTGCACAAGATACAAAGAATAAATCTGTGTTCACAGTCCAAGTCTGAACATGGATTGATTTGTGAATCTTGTTTTGAAGTGAATCAGAGAAAAAAAGAAGAAGAAAAAAAGAAGACAACGAGACCTTGGCGAGCTCGTCCTCGTGGTCCGTGTTGACACCGAAGCGAGGCATGGAGGAGCTGGAGAGGCTGGAGCTGTGAGACAGTTTCTTCACTCCGCTGATGTGACTCATAGATTTGTCTTTCAGGGTGGGAGACGGGATTTCCACGTCGTTCTGCTTGTCTACAGGTTGATGGAGAAACACGCACATAGATAGATTTATTGTTTTTATTTGGCAGAGGACGTGGACCAGAGAAGAGACTGTGGTCCCACTCACCCATGAAGGTGCTGGAGATGTATTCAGACACCTGGTTGCCTGAGCGACTCATCTCTGACAGGTGGGACAGCTCTCTGTTCAGCATCCTCTTGAACTGTGGCAGAATGAGAGCAAAACAGAGGTATGAGTCAATGAAGTGCTGGTTCTCTGAGTTTTAGGGAAAACTAAGAGCTAATATCCAATTCAGAAATCTTTTTGGACATGGAGGTTGTAATTAAGTGCCAAGTTTTAATGTTGCAGAAACATAACGGGAACATGGTGCTGGCAGTTCGCTATCTAACAAGCATTAGTTTATAGTTACATTACAGTTCAGCATAGAGACCATAGATACCAATATACAGCAGATCAATGAGCATAAAAAATCTGATAACGAAAAATTAGCCAATCATTCAAAAATATTTTAGGAAATGATACCTTAGATTTTGTTAATCGAACGTTGTGACATAAAGATATATACTGAGCGGAACATTGTAAATGACCGTAACAACAAACAACATGACAGTAAATCATGAATAAATATAAAAACACAGCAGAATATTTATAATCTAAAGAAAAACGTCAAAGTCCATAAAAATGTGCTGTAGTTTCCATCTTCAACATATACTGTACGTTCACATGTTTATTAGCCTGCTGATAAGTTGGTTGGTCTGGTTGGTTCAGGGATGTTTTGCAAACCTTGTTGGAGGCCATTTCGCTGACAGAGCGGTGTGTCTGAATGGTCTCCAGCTGGTCCAGGCACCAGTCCAGCTCCTCCAGAGTGTCCAGGGCGAGCTGCTGGTACTCCTGGTCTGATAGAGACGCCCTGGGACTGACGCACACTCCAATCAGAGGAGACCTCCTGAGGACGCAACGGCTTAGTTTGACCTGACAGACACTGAGGATATCAAGGCATTGTTTTGCAAGTCAGGCGCCAAGACAAGTCTCAAGTCAAGTCCCAAGTCAAGACGGACAAGTTCCAAGTCGAGTCCAAAGTCAAGTCCCACGTCAAGACTGACAAGTCACAAGTCAAGTCCCACGTCAAGACTGACAAGTCACAAGTCAAGTCAAAAGTCAAGACAAGCGACAGCGACTGAACCATGAAAAAAGATCTTCGGACTCATTTGTCAAATGTCTGGGAATGGTTCGTGTTAACGTTAGTTGATTTTGTCAATTTGATTCTAAAGTCATCAAATGTGTCACTCGAGTCTAAACATCTACTTATGCATGTTTTAGACTTTTCCTTTGTCCTGTGTGTATCTGTTGATCTGACGAGCTGCTGAGTACAATTTCATAATAAAGATGTATTGAATTGAATCTAACATTGGGAACATAAATCTCTCTCTCTCTCTCTCTCTCTCTCTCTCTCTCTCTCTCTCTCTCTGTATTAACAAAAAATCTGTACGATCTGGATGGCCTAATGCAGGGTTTGGGTTTGGTGGTCACGTCCTAATTATTTAAAGATGTTGCTGTAGTCACAAAATGAGTGTATGAGTGTTACATGAGCGTGCTTATAATGACAAGTAGCTTTATATTAATGTGTCATATACTGCAGTAAAGTAGATTGTTGTTCAGTCTGAACTGGTTACACAAATGGGACATTGCAGGACAATGAGTTGGTACTGACTGGACTGGTGTTGTGGAGACGTTGGCAAGAATGGTGAAGTTGCTCCGCACTGATCGCAGACTGGCCAATACCTAAATAATAATAATAACAAATAATCATAGAAATATACATATCCTAATGGTTGCTTTTAGAAATGATGAATGCACACACTGCTTTCAATTCGTCAACATGCTAATTTAACCATTTTTCAACCATCGTGAAACATTTTACACAATGATTTATCTATTACTCACTTGAGCAAAAGGCGTGACGATGAAGTCCTCTCCTGTGTGCTGCCTGAGAGAGAGTTCAAAATAAGAGCGGAAGCAGAGATGATTTTTCAACATATGACTACAACCACACACACTCTATCCCCCTATTAACTCATTGTTTTTGTCTTTGTCCCTGAGGCTCACCCTTCGCTGGCGAGGGACGAGTTACGTGAGACCGTCTTGGGCGACATGTCGTAGTCCGAGTCTGAACGGTAGAGGAAGGACTCCCTTCTCTGACCCTGGGGAAAGGAGGTGTGCAGGGTGAGGCCTGGACTCTGAGAACCCAGAGGGGTGTGACCTGGTGACACGCCATTTTCTGCTTCGTAACTGCATCATGAGGAGAGGAGGAAAAGTGAGCATCTAGAAAAAAGCTTTGTGCGAGGAGTCAATCAAAGGTTTGTGTGCGTGTGTGCGTGTGTGTGTGTGTGTACCTGTCAGCGTCTGCTTGTGTGATGGAGATGCGTGGCGGGATGAGGAGGGGAAGGGTTGTTGGACGCGATACGTTGCTCAGGACCTCAGGTGAACGCGTGCGGTCTCGAGGGCGGAGCCAGCAGGGTACCTGTAGAGTTAGAAGGAATTTAATGTATTTTTACTGTCCTTCTGGGCAGCCATGATGTTTGCAGTCATTTAAGTGCAACAGAGATACAATTACCTTAATTAGTCAGATTGTTTTGGTCATTTGGGGCCGAAACAAGCAGACCAGGAGGAACATTTATTTGGAGTTGTGTTGTGTCAAATAAGTAATATTTTCGCTGTGTTTTGCTCTTTATCAACACCTGCGACAACTTTTTGACTGTTTAGGGGCTAAAGGCGCAACTATGTTCAACAGCTAGTTGCTAACTGTTGCTGTCTGTTAGCCCTCTGGTACTCGGCAGTCAGTTTACAGTGGATTTTATCAGTAATGTTGCAGGACGTAAAAACCAAAACAATAAGCTGAGGAGTTCAGTTCGTCACTACGACCGACCCCATTCACATTACACACAGCTATTTCATCTATTGTTAATATATAAATATCACAGTAAACATCAAGTCTGCATAAAATGTTCTTATTATTATTGTTGCATAGTGATGCATTTTAAGCACAGCCTGATTTAGAAATACTGCATTTAATATAATGTTCACATGATGGAGGGGGGGTTAATACTGGTCCCATGCAGGTTAATGCACCAATGCTTGGTTTACCTGGAGACTCGATGAGAGTCTTCTGCTCCTCCCTCTGCGTAGCTCAGCCCCAAGTGTGGCTCCGGACGTATAAGATCGACTGTAGCGCGACGACTCCGCCTTCTCCCCAGCACCTGCTATATCTGAGTCTTTACCCTGTGAGACAGAGGAGGGAGAGCAGGCGATGGAAGCAGAGAGACAACAAAAAAAAACCAACAAACATAAATTCAGAGTCAGCAATAAAAATGAAAGTTGGTCCGTGCAGTTGTCATTTAAGCACATTCACCAAACCATGGTTACATCTTCAAATACTGATGAGTGAAGAAACTATAAATCAGCAATGTATGTGTGTTTACATGCGTGTGACTGTGTGTGTGTGTGTGTGTGTGTGTGTGTGT